AGTCATAGCCAGAAGCACCAGAATCTACCCAAGTGTCATCCTCATAAACAGATCATGTTGGCTGCATGCCAGTTATCATCAGTAGAAAGTGGCAAAATTTGTTTTTTTTTTTTAATGTCATGTTAGACTGAAACAATTATAGATTTCGGATATATTAAATTATTTTCATTGTTTCCCAAATTTTCCCTCCTTGCCCATAAAAGCAGACAAGATAGGATATAAAGGTAACAGCATAAAAGCTTTAGGGAGATTGTCACAAAATATCACTCTTCGCTCTCTGTCTTGAAGCACGTCACTACCGTGTTTTTGTTCGGTCTATCGATGTTTTACTGTGGTCCTTATGGTATTTCATTTTGTCCGTCCTAAGTAATCAGATATGCACAGCGATGACGTTTAGTTGGAAATCCTGTCGGTCCTGTCCCATCCGTATGCAGCCTGAATCCTGATGTTTGTTAGAATAGATGCTAAGCTGCTTCACTATTTCCTGGGCTTTGCTTATTCTGTGAAAAGGAATGTACTTTCGGCATAAAGTATAGTCATTGATAGTGGCCTATACTTTGTGCATTTATTTAATGCACTGTAATTTCACATGAATATATACGGCAACTCTGAGGCCAGATAAAATTAATGCGCTCTTTTTAACATCATCCATATCCGCATACCCGCTTCCATGCTTTTGAACTTAGAGGGAATTTTTTAAAGCAACAAGGCTCTTTTAAGAAGCCACATCCTAACCAGTGACCAGTAATGTCTACGACAGATTAAAAATCTCCATATACTGGAGATTCTGAAATGATCTTGTTGAGACCTTTTTTTTTTTCCCACACCTTACAATCAACCTTGTTGCTTTGCTAAAGGGAAGGGAAAAAAAAAAACTAAGTTAATTTTGTCTGGCCTGCAGCAATTTAGTGGATCGTTGCAGATATTTCTGTCCTGCACAGGTAAGTGGTGTCTCAAGGGTCAGGCCAATCAAAGATGCCACTTGGATAAGAATTAGATTCCTTAGATAATGTTGCTGTTTCAATCCATGTGCAATTACAGTCTTTGTGCTGTTTCAAAAGGCCTTGTTCCCTCTCAGTGTCCCTCATCTGTTTATCTGAGGCGCAAAAACCGTCGATACTCAAAACCGCTGGTGCTCTCCCTCTTTGTCTCTTTTGACAGAGGGTTGTCCCGGTCTGTGCAACAGCAATGGGAGGTGCACGCTGGACCAAAACGGCTGGCATTGTGTCTGCCAGCCGGGCTGGAGAGGAGCAGGCTGCGACGTGGCCATGGAGACCCTCTGCGCCGACAGCAAGGACAACGAGGGAGGTAAGAGGTGTTGAGCGGGAAAGCGAGCCTGCGCCAGAACCCAGGTTTATAAGTTCCCGTGGCTATGGGGTTATCTGTTGCCAAAAAAAAAAAAAAAAAAATCGGATCCCCATAGATTAGAGGGATTGAAAAATGTGTGAGCCCTGATGGAGTGCTTTGGCTCCCCATTCTCCCTGGAACGAGTGTAAGATTATTATGGTTCAGGGGAAAGGCAGGATCACCAGGCTGTTGTATAATGTACATCGTTCCCCATTCCTTGTCCTAATCTCCAGGTGACGGTTCCCCGCACTGCAGTCTTTAGGACCCTGTGAACTGGGAGCTTTAAAAGCAGTGTTTTAATAACGTAACAGTCTCATAGATGCCAGGTATTTCCCAAGCTCTTCCGTTGGAAGGTTTGGATGGAAAAAACAGAGCAGGAACAGAAAGCAGGCCTGTTGAAGCTGTACTTGCAGTGTCTTTTTAATCCTTGCACCCTGTGAAAAGGACTGTGATTTTCCACCCCACGTAAGCCCGCAGTTAGGAAATAACTCTTGGCCCCCTTGTGCACATCCTCCATGCTACTGTGTGTCAGTTTCAGAAAACAGAGTGAGAGCTGGTGGTTCCATCTGCAGTGACAGGGGTGTTTCCCCTGGAGCTGTTCAGTGTTGGGGCCCCTTTGGGACTGAGTTTTTTGAAAGGATGTAGTTTCTGTCTGGAGCTCTATGCTCACTTGCTCTGGGGATGAGGACGTATTTCCCCACCCCGCCCCCATCCCGCTGCCCTTTTGGGAACGTCCCCTTCGTGGTGGGTAAGAGTACAGGTTTGCAGTCAGATCTTCAGTCCACCTCGTGGTACGTATTTGACGTCACACGAGAGTCTGATCTCTTTAAACTTCGATTGCTTCATGTATGAAATAGGAATAAAAGAGTTTCCGAAAGGTTAAGTGAGAGAATGTCTGTAAAGTACTTAGCATCTTGCCGGGGACACAATATGTTGTAAGTAGTGGCTCTTATTATCCAAGTTTCCTTCTTTTGCTTTCAAAGGTGCTCACCTTGACGAGGTGAAATTCTTAAAAAGTGGTCAGGGAAGACTGAATGGCCTTTTGTTTCTAAGTAGAGTGGCCCTAACGACAGGCAGACCTCGGAGATGTTGTGGGTTCGGTTCCAGGCCACTGCGGTGAAGCGACTCACACGAATTTTTTGGTTTCCCAGTGTTTGTAAAAGTTACATTTACCCTGCACTGTAATCTGCTAAGTGTGCGATAGCATTGTGTCTAAACAGCAGCGTACATACCTTACTGTAAAAATACTGATTGCAAAAAAAAGCATGTTAACCACCCTCCAAGCCTTCAGCAAGTTGTGGTAGTAACATCAGAGATCACTGTCACAAATATAATAGGAATGAAAAAGTTTGAAATTGTGTGAGAATTATCAGAGTGTGACACACAGACACAAAGTGAGCAGATATGGTTGGAAACATGGCGCAATCGACTTGCTGCAAGCAGGGTAGCCCCAGACCCTCAACTTGTAAAACATGCAGTGTCTGCAAAGGAGAAGAAGGCCTGCCCTGTGCTGTTCACTGGGAAGCAGAGAGACCAGAACTAGCTCTCAGCTCTCCCCGTTCCCCCAAAACACACACACGCGCGCGCACATGTGCGCACGCACGCACACCCGGACCTACAGTCATTCTCAGACCAAGTACTGTTCGTGTCTCCTCCTCCTGGTGAGGAGCTGCAATTCTCCCCTCTAGTCTCCAGCAGACTGCTCATTATTTCTCCTGTTTGCTTTTTAGCTAGACTCTCAAGAAACTTGAGCCCCACACAACGTTGTAAATTGACTATAGCTCAATAAAAAATGTTAAAAATAAAATAAAATAAAATAAAACACACACACACACACACACACAAAAGAAACTTGAGCCCCAAGTTCTGAGCTGAAGCCTCCTTTCCTGTCCGCTCCTGGTAGATGGAGGTGGTCCTTGGCCCCGGAAGCTTTCTCGCCTGGTAACACGTTACTGCCCCAACTCCTCGTAACCGTGCATGTTGTGGCGCAGAAACTGCAGCATCGCTGCTCCCCACAGCCCAGGTGGTCGCTTTCCCATTCCTTTCTCCCAGAAAGCCCTCGCCGCATAGTTTTCTGTCGCCCAGGGAGGAAGGACAGCTTTCCTTCCTCTTCGATCAGGTATTTCGCACTTGTCTTCTGCGAGATGGAGATGACGTTGAGGGGGTTACAGACTCTCACAGAAGGAAGCAAACTGCAGGGCCAAGTCTGCAGAGACAGCTGCGGAGTAATTTAGGGGCTAATCAGCTCCTTAGTGTGGTTGTCAGCCAAGGAGGTGCCTCGCTTTCCTCAAAATTTATCAGCTGTGAATTGGCCTCGTTCCCCTTTTGTTTATTCTCATTAGCGTGAAACTGCGCTGTCTCCAGGCGTCCCTCTCCAAGGGGCATTCGGAGCTGATAGAGGACCTCCTGTGCATTCTCTGCTTGTATCATTTGTATTCCTGTCCCTAACCTCGTTCTGTCGATCTTCTGAGAAGGAATCTCAGTGCCAGCTTTATTATGCCCTGAGGTTGTAAGCCAGGTGCCTTGTAACCCAGGCTAGAGGGTTCCTTGAGCTTAAGCATGAGCTATGTGTGTAGAGACAGTGTTTTCCACACCAAACCCCAACTCGAGACACATAATCTGGCAGTTACGGACATCAGTGTCATTATATGAGGACAGTGAAACAGAATGTTTAAAATAAGCACTATACTTGAAATTCTGTGACGTATGGTAACTGTACTATTACAGATCCGTTGTCTAAACTAAGTTTAGTGTCAGAACGGTGAATTAGCAAGAAAGTAGCTAAGTAATTTGACTTAGCACCTTCAGTAGCTAAAGAGGAGAAGATAAAGAGGTTGATTTGGCCCTAATCAGAAATTAAGGGAGGGAGGGTATAGCTCAGTGGTAGAGCACGTGCTTAGCATGCATGAGGTCATGGGTTCAGTCCCCAGTACCTCCATTAAAAATAAATAAATAAATAACACCTAATTACCTCCCCCCTAAATAAGTAAAAAAATTTTAACACGATGATATTTTACAAAAGAAATTCAGCACGTCATATGAATGACTGCCAGTCTAGTCTGAGCAGCTTTGTAGAACACAACTTGAAGAGCTTTGTAGAACACTCACACACGCACGCACACATGCACAAAGAAAGTTGATTACTAGTTCCAGAACTAAAGAAGATACATTTAAGAATTTTAGAAAGGACAGCCAGATATGGGGAAGTAGTGAAATATTTGTTCTTACACCAAGCATCTTCCTTCCCCTACAAAACATACCTTCCTCTACCAAACCAGTTGGCCCCGTCTCTGCTGTCTACGTCTGATGATCCTCAATCTCTGGAGCTCACTAAACAGATGTCCCTCTTTGCCCATGGAGCCCACCCCTCTTTATGTCTCCGACGTGCTTCAGGAAAAGCAGCCTTAGGAGGGAATTCCTGATGAGGAACTGGAGGAATAGCTACCAATAAAAAAAAAAGGCTGGAGGAACTTAGCCACTCTCTTAACACCTCCATGGTCATAAGAAATCAACCTGTTCAGTTGGACCTTGTTTCTTTAGGGCTCAAATAAATAGCTGTCATCTATACGGACTCATTAGCTTTACAGAACTAAGGCAAAATTTCACCCTCCATCAAGGTCTTGACAAAGATCCCCGCTCTCTGTGGAATCAACAGGGTGCCTCCCATCACTTCTCCAGGCTGAGCTCCCGGTACCCCAGAGGCTGCTGGAGCAGATCCTGGGGACAGAGGTAGGCTGTGGAAGAGCAGGTTTCTAAATCACATAGTGGAAGTCAGAAACTGGTGGTCACAGGACCAGAGAATCACGGTGAACATCTCCACACAGGGCCTCTAGACACTTTGGGAACAAGAAGGTATCGTGTCCTCATTAGAAAGGCTTTCTGAGCAAGTGATCCACACCGCAGGCCTCAACTTGGCTTCTAAATATTTCTTCTTCAGTTTTATCTTCACCTACAAGTCAGCCTCCCTCTAGACCGAGTCATTTCTTACACATAGCCCAGAAACCACTCTGATGCTGAAGTTGCTAAGATTAGGAAGCTTCTGAGAGCACAAGCTGGACTTCTCTTTCCTAGAATGGGAAGGATGTCCTATGCTCTGAAACCTGGGTAGCCAGAGTTCGGAGTAACCTGAATCTCTCCCTACAGTAGGCTCTAATAGAGTCTTTCAAACAAATAGTAATTTCCTCCCCCAAATCATCTGCCAGGATAATATATTTTAAGGCTCTGAGACCCTTGAGTGCCACTCTATATTCTGATATCTGGTGTTTTTACTAGAGAAGGGAAATAATCCGATTTGATTCCTCCCAAGATTACTCTGACTTTAGTGTCGAGAAGGAATAGCTGGGACTAGACTGGAGCCTGGGAAACCAAGCTCTCTGGTTGAGATCTTGTCAAGAGATGACCATGGTGGCCTGAAGCGGTGGTTTCAGTGAAGTGGAAAGAAATAGACTGATTCAAGAGATATTTGGGGTAGAGAAAAAGGGGGAACTGGTCATTGACAAGGTGCAGAGAAAGAGGGAGGGAGGAGTCAAGGATAACATTCAGGTTTGTACTTGGAGAGACTGGGTGGGTGGATGGTGGAACCATCCACTGAAACAGGAAATGCAGAAGCAGCGCGCGTTCAGAGAAGATGGGACACGTGGTGGTGTAGACAGTGAAGTTTCCGATGCCTGTGTAATATCCAGTACAGCACAGGGAACTATATTCAATATCTTGTAATCGCCTGTAATGAAAAAGAATATGAAAAGGAATATATATATATATATATGTCACTCTGCTGTACACCGGAAATTAATACAACATTTTAAATTGACTATACTTCAATTTAAAAAAAAAAAAACCAATGCAAGCTTTAGGAAAGATCAGAACATGCCTTAAAATCGTAACTCGAGCGAAATATTTGAGGATTACGTGGAAGGAAGCATAAACCATATTCTCTACTTTATATCAAAGTACCACTCACACTGCAAAGCCTAGACTGGAGAAAGAAAGTCTCTTAACTGATCATCGAAGTTGTTATTCACTGGGTTTTGAACATTTCTGCTTTCCCTTAGATTTTTTTATGATTAATTCTATTAGCTATGGCTTCTGTACTAATATCAATTTCAGGCAACCTAATATTTCGGAGACTAAAATGGAATGTTGATGATTTTGAGAAGCTATTCCACAAAGACAGTTTTACTACAGCATACATTTGGGCAAGTGGGTAATCAACTTACTTGTACTGGATAGCCCTAGCTATGTTAAGCACAGACAAAGAATGAGAAATCTTTCCTTAAGTTGTACGGAGCCAGATTCATAACCATCCATCACTTGCTTGGGCAAGTTACTGATAAACTCTGCAGAAAAATAACCAACAGTGTGTCCCTGCATCTTGGCTGTTGAAAATGAGATTCTTTCTCTGATTGATGTTAGCAGAGAGGCTTGTAAAAATGCATTTCCAGCTGATTAGTTCAGAAGGTGTCAATCTCATGCAGTTTTATGACCTGCAGACTACATGCCAGATGTACGTTTGCTTTTTATAAACTAACAAAGATGAATGACTAAATTTGGACAGTCCTCTTTGGCAACTGTGCTATATATTGCCTAAAGGAAGACACTGTAGGAGCACTACAGGGGAGGACAAGCCGTGAGATGCATTTAACCCTTAATTTACCAGATTAATGGAGATAAAACATACGTGGAAGTACTTTTACTCTTAAGGAGTTTCTGCTTACATTAAAAAATGGATATAAAGGGAAAACGTGCAAGAACATCCAATGTTTGTGCTGAATTACTCCCCCAAGCATATGCATATCCATTCTAAATCCATGGAATAAGAATTCTTAAATATGTCTTAAAACATATTAAAGATTCCTCATGAAGTCTCAACATATAGCCATGAATTTTTGCTGGAAGAGTTTTTTACTGTTTTTTTTTTGGAGGCTAGAAATAATGTTGGGGCAATAGGTCAATAGTCTACTACTTTAAGAATCTGGGGTTTTAAAACTATGCCTGTATTTCTTTGAGACAGAAGGAGAAGAAATACAATATATTGCATTATTATAATATAGCCCCATGAAAAATAAGCCTCTAGCATAGTTTCATCTTTCTTCCACTGGAAATATTGAGAAATATTTTGACATTTTTCATCTTTGTGGCCTTTTGGCTAAGAAAGCAATATTTTGATAAATTTTTATGAAATTTCAAAGCTCAGTTTCATTGGATTTTCTTAAAACATGATTTCAAATCTGTGTCAAAGGAATAAATATGCAATTTCAAGTAATTAACAACTCATCTTTTTAGAAATACCATAGACAGCTACATGAAAATGTGACTATAATAAAGAAACTATGTAATAAGATCCACTTACCAGAAATTCTGACTCAGATGTTTTCATGTGCATAGAAGTTATGGGGACAAAAAGTTAAAATATTAGCATAAAAAGAATCCAACACTATACATTTAATTCTAGTGTTTACTTATCAAGCCTTTTTTTCCCCAACTATATGGAAAATAGTGTGATTTTTAGTTAATGTCTCTGGATAAACTACATCTCTTTCAGTTTCAAGTGACAGAAAATCCAACCCAAACAGGCTTATGGAAGAAGGCAGTGCTCTGGCTTCTAGAACTGAAAATGCAGGAGATCAGGTGCAAAATCCCCAAAGATGTCACTATGACCTGTTGTTTTTTTCTCTCCAGCTCTTGACTCTGCTTCTTCTGGGATGGCCCCTCTCCCAGAGGGGTTCTGCTGTAGTAGCAGCAAGAGACATGCAGCAGACCCCAGCCTCACAGCCTTACAGCTCCAAGCCTTACAGCTCCAAGCCTGGGGGGATGCAGGGGAGGGGAACCTCTTTTTAGACAGTTCCTGAAATTCACCCTGATTCAATATGTTAGGTCCTATGTACATTTCTGAACCAAACATGAAGGGAAATACTCATGTAGACTGAGACCTGGGGAGAGCTGGATACCCAAATGAAAATTCAGAGCTCTTGCCTTAAGAAGAGGAAATGGGTGTTAGGAGAAATCACGGGTGTTCACCACGTTCTTCTTCAGGAGGGCAAAACGACTTACGGACACCGAGCCAGGGGCCCTGGGCTCGTTTCTTACCTCACTGTGCTATTGCTGACCTACTTCTAGACTGGGCATTACGATTCAATCTAGTCTGTTTTCTTTTGTCTCAGTTTGCTGTCAGGGAGTGAATGGACAAGCTTATGTTCTATTAATAAGAGTAGCCTAAAGCAAAAAAAACAATGACTGGTCTGGTTTTTTTTTAAATTAGTTATTTCAAAACAGTTGTATAAATAAAACATATAAGTCAGCTAGATATTTTCAGCTGAGTTTGCCATAATAGGGTCACACCAAGACCTGATAGTTAGGTCTGAAGATTTTATAACTATTTTGTCAGTTCTCCCAAGGGTAAGTAAAGTCTTCAGAAACTAATGTTTTTATTAGTCTGTACAGAGAAATGCAGTCACCAAGCAGATAAAAATTTATGTGTCAACTGGTCACTGAAAAATGACCTTAAAGGATAATGTCATCAAGCCATCACACCTGACACTAGTATCCGCTATTGGGTTGGCTTATATGTTTCAAACGAAGTTCTTACATGAGCCATTGAGTGTAGTTTCCTTTTGATGTTCCTGGAGAAGGCTCTGGAAGGTTCAATCTACTACTCTTTTTATGGCATCAACAGTGTAGGTCCATTTTTAGTGATCGGTCTCTTATCATTTCCAGTATTATGGCTTACTTACACTTGCCACACTTTAATTAACACCTGCCTTTGAGAGGAGGCATTCGAAGGACTCAGGTTCCTGTTTAAAATTTGAGAAATGCGTCGTTTTACTTGGAACACACTTTCCTATCCCGGGGAGAACGATTTCCTTGAAAGATGATTGGCTGATCTCCTCCATTGTATGTTGATTTGCACTTGCTTCATTTCACAAACCTTCATTTTCTGACGATTTCCCCAGTTTCAGAGCTTCACCCAGTGTGGGTACCTATCCCCTTGTCGTATACACTTACTGTAACTCCTAGTGCATTATCTCTAAACTGCAGAAGCCCTGATTAAGTGCACTTACAACTAATCCGTGTTCCTTCCTGCTACTACGGGCAGACCTCCGAGATATGGCAGGGTCGGTTCCTGGCCACTGCAGTGAAGCGAGCATCCCTGTAGAGAGAGTCACAGGAATTTTTTTGTTTTCCAGTGCATGTAAAAGCTGTATCTACACTATACTGTCATCTATTAAGTATGCAGTGGTATTATGTCTAAAAAGCAATGTATGAACATTCATTAAAATACTTTATTGCTTATGAAGGCTAACCATCATCTGAGCCTTCAGCAAGCTGTAATCTTTTTACTGGTGGAGGGTCTTCCCTCAAGGTCGTTGGCTGCTGACTGGTCAGCCAGGTGTGAAGGGTGTGAAGGTTGGGGCTGCGGCAGTTTCTTAAAATGAGACAACAGTGAATTTTGCCCCATCAGTTGACTCTTCCTTTCACTTGAACATTTAGAGGCCATTGGATGGTTATTACTTGACCTGATTTCAATATCATTGTGTCTCAGGGCACAGGGAGGCCCAAGGAGAGGGAGAGACACAGGGAAACAGCTGGTTTATGGAGCGGTCAGAACACACTCTACGTTTATCACTTAAGTTCACCCCTGGACAGTTCACGGCTCCTCAGAAGAATTACAACAGTGACAACAGAGTTCACTGCTCACAGATCACCATCACAAATATAATAATAATGAAAACGTTTGAAATATTGTGAGAATCACCGAAACGTGACGCAGAGACAGGAAGTGAGCAAATGCTGTTGGGAAAAGGGGGCCCATAGACTTGCTCCACGCAGGGTGGCCACAGACCTCCAATTTACTAAAAAAAAAAACAAAAACAAAAGCACAATATCCACAAAGCACAGTAAAGCAAGCTCAAACAAATGAGCTATGGTTTGTTCTAATCAGTCATTTTTTATTTTTCAACTCAGAATCAACTTCATACGATTCTTTTCAGCCATCTCCAACCCAAACATTTACTGGCTGGAAAAGCAGCTGCCAGCGTTGTGTTTGTATTTCAGTTGGTTTCGGGAAGTAGGCCTCCTAGAAATTACTCCAGAGAGGGGGAGCCAATCATTTGATGTGCAAAAAGCCAGCCAGCAAACAAAACATGTTCTACTTCGTGGCAGAGAAAGACGGGTCCTCTGACTGGTTTCTGTTTCTCTCTACAGATGGACTCACTGACTGTATGGACCCGGACTGCTGTTTACAGAGTTCCTGCCAAAATCAGCCCTCCTGTCGCGGATTGCCCGATCCCCAGGACATCATTAGCCAAAGCATACAGTCCCCGTCTCAGCAGGCAGCCAAGTCCTTCTACGACCGCATCAGTTTTCTCATAGGATCTGACAGCACCCATGTCATACCTGGAGGAAGTCCTTTCAATAAGAGGTTAGCGCATCTCTTCCTTGTACAGATTTGTAGCGATATTATCAACAGTTACAGGCCCTGTGTATGAAATGCTGATGACTGAATTCGAGGGCGTGCTTGTATTTTGTTTTTTGTTTTTAATGCAGTTTTTCCTCGTTTGGCAATCCTTCACCAGACTTCGCCTTTCAAGCATTTTTGACACTGTTCACATACTTCGTCAATTTCAGTACCCAATACATAACAGGACATCCCATTAAAGAGTCAATAAATCTTCATTTAACTAGTGGATTTTCTCTGCACAGTTGGAAATGTTTCAAAAGAAGCAATGAAAAGACCCCAAAAGGCAAAACAGAAGTGCACTTTTTTTTTAAGCTGAGCTCACTAAATAATATAAATTATGAATTAATGTAATGGAACTGCTAACGGCGTGGCAGTAAGATTGCATAAGCTGTTTGACTGGTGCTTTACAGAGCAGTAATGACCTGAAAATAAACCAGTAAGTGAAAGCAGGTGTCTTGTGTCTCACTGAGAAAGAAGATGATCTACACCAGAACTCCTGGGCCAGCCTCAATTTAACAGCATTAATTCAGTGAGACCCAGCAGTTGATTAAAAGTTGTCGCACAAATGTTCCTTATTGCCCCCTTAAATCTTGTACTTCTTGGTTCCTGCAGATTTACAGATTGCCTTGGAATTAATTGGAGAGTATACTTTTCTTCATGCAAGCACCAGATATATGACTTATGAAAAAAAAAAAGCACAGCTTATAATTTTAAAAATTCGTCTCTAAATTATTGGTCTTGATAACTCTCCAAAAACCAGATTGCAATGAATTAAAACCCAGGGTAAACACCAGGCATTTCAAGAATGTGCATTACAGTGAATTAAAAGGGATATAGTCTTAAGTCTGACTTTTGTGAATACAAGTGCGTCTGATAGTGTTGTTTTATCTGAAGATTGAGTTATCTCTACATCATGATCACGTTGGCCTAAGACAGATATTCTAATTCTTCTACTTTTCCCACAGCCTTGCATCCGTCATCAGAGGCCAAGTACTAACTGCTGATGGGACGCCACTCATTGGAGTGAATGTCTCATTTTTCCATTACCCGGAATATGGATATACCATCACCCGCCAGGATGGCATGTGAGTTGGTCCCAACACCCAACCTCTGTTTGAAGCATTTTAAGTGTAAAAATTAGGCATTCTTCTGTCACCCAACATGTTTTACTGTCCCTTTCAATATGGAAATGCAACAACTTTTAGACTCCAGAAATGTGTGACAGTACCTGATGGCAGAAATTTAAAGTCATATATCCCTAGGTCTTTAAAAGTTGATTTCATTTTCTAAGGCATGATAATAGTGTGATGGTGTTATAGGAGGCTGTTCTTTGTCTTAGAAGATTCATGTTGAATTATTTGGGAGTGACATTTCGTCGTATCTCCAACCTAAGTTCAGATGGGTCTGGAAAAAGAGGAGATAGGTAGATAGATATTTCAAATTTGGAAAAAAGTTAATAGAGTAGTAAATCTGAGTTAAGGGTACATGGATGGTCATTGTATACGTCTTAATATTCCTGTAGATTTGAAGCTCTTTCATATACGAGTTGCGGGAAAAGATTGCTCTCTTTATAAAGCAGATTAATTTAAGGGGGTGAGCGTTGGGAGTTGTATGAGATCCAGATGATTCACTAAGCACATCTTGTTTTTCCTTAGGTTTGACTTGGTGGCAAATGGTGGGGCTTCTCTAACTCTGGTATTTGAACGATCCCCGTTCCTCACTCAGCACCATACTGTGTGGATTCCGTGGAACGTCTTTTATGTGATGGATACCCTCGTCATGAAGAAAGAGGAGAATGACATTCCCAGCTGTGACCTGAGTGGCTTCGTGCGGCCAAACCCTATCATTGTGTCGTCACCCTTGTCTACGTTTTTTAGATCTTCTCCCGAAGACAGTCCCATTATTCCTGAGACGCAGGTAGAACGTTCTAACAGGCAGTACTGTTACACTAGCCGTTTTCAGATTGTGTGGTTTCCAAAGAACTTTTTTTAGAGGATTGCAGAATTCCGGGACTATCCTCCATAAATCTATAGAACAGCATATAGGATGTGTTGTGTGTGTGTACTGGAACAGGTGTTGTTGCAGTGGGCTATCAGTTATGGTTTAAAGATCTCTTCAAAATACTTTTTCTTCACGCTGTATCTGTATCTATTTATCAGTTGTGGCCAAATGGGGAAATGACTTAAACTCAACAGCTAATAATGTCTTTGCTTGTGGCCATTACTCTCAATAATTTATTGTTTCACTATTATTGTAAGTGAAAAAATATTTTAGAAAAGATGTTTTTTGACAGAAAAGATGTTCATTCATTTTCTCATGGTACTGTTTTTAAAACATGGTATCATGTCTTGAGTCCTAATAATTTGTGGTTCATAATATAGCCGTATTCTCCACTGGAAAAAAATTATATAATTGTTTTAAAAATAGCCGTACTTTTCACTATTCATTTTATCTACTGAACTAACTTGAGATTGTTCTCCTTCCTATATATTTCCAAGTAGAAATAGCATTCAGATCTTAAACGTAGGCCATTAGGTACAATAAGAGTGGACTTTATTTGTAAATACTAAGTAAAAATATGTACTCTTTAAAATACAACTTCACATAACAGCTTTGTCACATTCGTTTTTCAAATATTTATTGAATACCTGTTCTGCACCAGGCACCGTTATAACGGAACAAAGCAGTTAACCAGTCAGACGAAGCACCTGCTTTCAAGGAGTCCGCCAGCTTACGGGGAGAGAGGGGTTCCTCCAACAAATAGATACATGTTGGGTTGTGAAAAAGGCTTATTAAAAAATAATAAAGCAGGGTGAAGTGGGTGGAGGTGCAGTTTTATAAAATGTAGTCCAGGAAGAGCTCTTTGATAAGATTGCATTTCAGCAGAAACTTTAAAAAGAGCAAGACCCAACCCCCCAAATAGAAGGTCATTCCAAGCAGAGCAAAGACCAAGTTCAAAAGCTCTGAGGGAGGAACATGCTTGGCTTGTTGGAGATGGACAGACAGGCCAGCAGGTGTGGCTGGAGTGAAGGTGGTGAGGTCACCAGTCACTGAGGACCACAGTAGGGACAAGGGCTTTGCTGATTACAGCTGAGGAATGAGACCCTGTTAAGAGGTTTCAAGCAGATCAAGCGCAGTTACTGATTTCCTTAAA